AGAAAGAATTGTGTTTGCTGTGACCAGAGGTGGCTCCTTGGTGGCATCAGCAGTCGTGATAAAAACGTCCAACTGCGGGAGCGTTTCGCCTCCGTCATCATACCTACAAATAAGCAAGTTAGAACCATTTCTTCAGCCAATGACAAGCTTACTTAACAGATAATTTACACTCACACAGCTTTCAGTCTGTCTTTGTACGTCTCTCTCTTGACAGGAGTCAACTTAGGAAGTGTGTCGAGCACCCACGAAACAGCAAACCTGCAAGCTTGAAGAAACAGATTAGCTTAAAACCTCTTCTCACAAACCACGAAGTGTTGCAGCTAATGAAACCGTTCGCACCATATCTCACAAATGACAGACATCAGCCAGAGCCAATATCCTGTCTCTGTGGGGTTGGCAACCCGATACTGAAGAAATCCAAGGATTGAACAAAGACGAATGAAAAGAACAATCCTGCATAGTAATACACTTTCATCTGTCAAGATGACGAAGAAAAAGAGGGAAACGGAAGAAAAAATAAATATCGTTTGCAGTATGTACACACCTGTAAGGGCCGATTATGCTACCAGGATAGCTCAACTTTCTTGCCAAGCTCTTCTTCTTCCAATCAGCTCTGGAGAGGGTATAACACGATTAATCATATGTCCTGTAATTTTAGCATCAAGCGCTAGCACAAGCCACGTACATCGGAACAGCTCGATCAGGTGCCTTTATGGGTGGCTGCTCCCAAGCAACACTGCCATATCCATACTGAGGCTGACTGGTCTGAACGATGCTGTTATCTTGATGAAGAGGAACCAGGTTTTTTTCTCCCTGAACCTGCAGACGTAAGAAAGAGGTGGTTTCAGCTATATTTCTTTCAAATGAGAAAACCGCAAAAAAAAATGCACATGCATACCTGAGGTCCCGATTGTTCAATCTCATTAATGCTTTGCAGCTGCTTTGACTCTGTTCTTGCAAGCCTCGACGGAGAGGAAGTGCCATCAGCCCGAGGTGTTTCATTAAGCATGGCTTGCATTATCGCCCCTGAAAAAAAGTGGCACGGTGTTTAAAATGTCTCAAAATGCTTCACGTGTAAAACACAAGATTATATAGATGCTGCATACATTGCTCTCGGCTTCGAAGATCTCCTCCACAGCCTGGACAGCGGTTTCTTTCATACTTGTGCACATGATCCAAACAGATGGTGCACATCCTGAAGGAACACTCGCATGGTGTGTACTCTTCATCCGCTGACACGGCATCACCACACATATTGCAGACAGCTTGCTTTATCTGCGGGCCTGCGTTCTGAAATACTTGTTTAGTGCAAAGCTCCTGAGATAAAAACGGACAGCTTAGCTTACCATCAAACGTGTAACACTTCGAATGCCATTTAAATTCTTGTCTCCATGAGCTAAGGAGCAAAGCAATCCCTGGGTCTGGGTACCCACTGCACTGTTGCTCCTTTCCTGCATGAAGTGTCATTAGCGACTGTGATCACACAAAACGCGTAGACTTTGTACAGTAACTTACCACTTTGATACGTGCCAACCCGAGTTTCTCTTCAGGAAACACTGATGCCGCTCTTGCCTCCTTTTCCTGCAATAATTTTCGAGTAAGCATTGACGAAACATACAGCTATTACTAATCAGAATACTCACCGCATCGCGGCTTATCGCCAATGACCCTCCCCTTGATCGGCTTAAGGATGTCCTGATGGAACTTTCCGGGAGCGTTCCTGATGGTTCGCGTACTGACGTCAAGCTTTGACGATAAGTTGACTTTGTTAAGACTGCACGAGACTTACCGGTAAGGCCACCCAAGAAAGATCCACTTCCATACTTCCGAATACCAGCAGGAGAAGCATCTGGCTCCTGAACATGGTATGCTCCAACAGCCACTGACTGACTCCGTTTCAAGTCATTGTCGGCGTGTTGCCTGTCAATGAGCACACACGTGTCAGATAACTAAGAGCAAAAACTGTGACGTAATGGATATTGGAGCTAGAACGCTTACACAGGTGGAGGATGTTCAGATACGGAGGCTCCTGAGAATGTTCCTTGTTCCTGAAAAAAACTAATTTAAGGAAGGAATGTTCACGAATCCAAAAAAGGCGAAAAGGCATTGCTGATGGCTGAATACCTGTCCATCGGTTGTGCTACTAAGCCGGTTACGCATTCCATGGTCGCTAGGTCTCCTGGCCGGAGCGACGACGACATCAGGCGACTCCTCCATCCTTGGAGACTCCTAGGTACGGACACAGGAATTCATTCGTACAAGCCTTTTTGGTGATAATTGTGAACAGAAACCAGAGCGCAGTAGCGGTGCCAGAATGAATGTTGCTCCATTCGCTCTGTCAGCTGAAGGCCTTGTTCAGCAACACGCGAGGCGCATTCACGACGCGGTTGGGTTTGGTTCGGTTCAATTGCGACGCATAATACGAAAACATAACCAGTAGTACACGCAATCTAGTTGTAATAAAGGTACACAGAACCTCGACATAAGCAACTCTGCCACGTCATTGCCTCGAACTGACCTGTCCAATCCGAGGCACTTATTTGTCCCCCTCGCAATTTCGTCATCCAAAATGGAACTCCCTGAGTCCTCCCAACCACACTCCACTCCACCCAAGCCGGGCGTACACAGTTGACCAGCTAGCTGTCCCACGTTTCTTTACAACTCTGCTCCCATCAATATAGCATAGGTGGCGATTACCACGGTGAAGGCAAAAGTCTGTCTCTGTCATTAGTGTGCGTAGCGGCCCTGACTTCACTGTCGTTTCTTTCCACTCACCATCAGCGTGCAAGTTCACCACGATCATGCCTCGTCCAGCACCTTCGCCGTTTGAGAGGAAGCCACGAAGCGCAGAGGAGGAGAACCCGCTTGCTGGGCTTGGCGTTCGCGCTTCCGCATCGCCAAAGGTATCTTCGCGTGCTTATCTCCCCTTCCATGCACACGGCTTCCTTTTTCATGTAGCTGTACTTTATGTTCTCTCAATAAAGTTAGCAGCTTACACTATCTGTTTATCTCTGCGTAGGCTAAAGGGTCACCAGTTTCATCATGAGGTAGCTTTACGCGACATGCTCGTGCCTGGAATCCATTCAGCTCAGAATTATTGTCTTTCTCATGTGCAACGGATCGCTACCTACGTGCGCCTCGTTTATGAGTTACGTTTTTTTCGGTTGCAACACTGTGTTGAGCAGTCGGGAGCTGTCATGGCACCATCCTCTGGTGCTCTGTCAAGAAGACGAGCATCGCCTAATCAAAATAACGCTATGTTCGAGTTCGACCCAGAGCTCGTTGCTGCTTTTCAACGCAACATGATGGTACGTAGTAATTGTATTCATAGGTTGACTTGCGACTCTGTTTCTAAGTGATTTGGATGCAAACACGAGTCGGGTGTCCTTTTGATCCAGTAGCGTTTTTTTTTTTTTTTTTTTTTTTTTCCACCACCACCATGGAGGAATAACAAGGTTAATAAACACACGCACGCGCGCGCACACACACACACACACACATGCTCACTCACTTACACACACACACACACACACACACACACTCACCCACGCACGCACGCACACCTCACACACACACACATACCACGCTCACACACACACACACACACACACACACACACACACACACACACACACGCACACACACACACACACACACACACACACACACACACACACACACACACACACACACACACACTTGGCTAGTTACATACGCGTATAATCCCGTTTCCTTTTCCCTCTCTGTAAGGCGCCCATCATCCACCCTCCCTTTTGACCTCATTCATGTTCCCTCCACATCTCCCCACTTCTTGTGTCTTGTCCTCCCCCAACCCCTTCCACTCTCTCCGCCACCACCTCCCACGCCTTCGCCCCTCCCCTCCTATTAATGTACACAAATTATTTACCTGTATCAGTTTCTTTCTGTAGTTGTTCTTCTAGCCTCTGATTCTTCAAGGTTTCATATTCTCATTTCCCAGTCGCCCCTTGAACTCCTCTACTGTCCCTGGTTTCCCCGTTTTTGGTGCCTGCCATTCTGGAAATGAATGGTATGCAGTTTTTTCGTCGTGTGTTCAGCCTAGACACCTTCCTCAGGCCCTTGCCAGCGCCAGTGGCACAGTCCATTGCACGAAGCTTTGGTTTCTTCACAAGCATCTTCACACAGTTTGTTGGTAAGTGGATGTTTCTGTGTTTATTGTTCTTAGTGGTAGATCCCAGTTTTTTGTACGGTACATATTTTTTCCCATAAAACTAAGCAAGATCAATGTTGATGAATACTTTCACTTGCTGCTGTGTCTGTCTTTTCAATTGTTGTTATCATATTTTCCCCTTTGTATTGCAGATCCGAAGGGCATCAAGAACGCACAAAAAGCAATGGGGATTCGAAAGGATGACTCTAGGATTGTTCGACGGAAAGAGTAACATTTGTTTTTTCCTTACTATGGGTCTGGCTTAGGTAATGTGAATGCTACCTGTGTTTGTTTCCTTTCCTCTTGTCCTCATCTCCAGCCTAAAGCCACAGAGGGAAGGCCATTGTAACTACCGTATGCATTAGTTTCGATTTGATTTTGTTCACCAGAAGTCAATACCATTACCACTATCACTGCTCGATACCGTATTGAATGCTTATGGGGTCCAACACTGAGTGAAAGCACACCAGCCACACGCCCTGTCACTCTTTTTTTGCGCTGGTTTTAATACGTAGATACGGTAGTGTAAGGGCGTGTCCAGCGCGTACGTTTACGGTTTGTTTACAGTTCATGACCCAAGGCGCAAAACAACATCAAATGGTTCAAAGCGATTTGCAGTTTCCACCGTTTTTAACTGTGACGCAACAAGGTCAACCGCACAGGATGAACTGTAAACGTACGCGCTGGACCCGCCCTAACTCAAGCTTTAGACCCTAGTGCAATCTGCCTGTCATCTCCATCCTGCACACTGGCACATCAGAAAACAAAGAAATCCTTTGGCATGAAACATTTGGCACAATTTGCACTGGCCTCAGAGGAACATGATCTTGGCACTCAACTCCTTGGCCAGTGCCAATTTGAGGCTATTCAAATGATCCCACAGCGATGCCTGCCCCATGCCTCCTTGGCTGTCCGCGTCAGGCAAGCTACGGGCAGTGAGAGTGGGAGCATTCTTAAAGCCAGAGCGCTGTTGTGAGAGTGAGTCTGGGGAGAAGTGCTGCAAGCAGCTGATGAGCGCAGAGATGTGGGCCTCTTTGAACGGTAGGGAGCGATTCTGAAGCACATGAGCCTGCCAGTGGAATGGGATGGAAACGGAACGGAAGGGGATAACAGGAGGGATTTTCAGGTGGCAGGAAGAAGCTGATGAAGACAGAGATGATTTTGAAGTAATCTGATTTGAGATGGACTGGAGAATGCATCGAGAGGTACACATGTATTGACTCGAAGCAAGAGTCCCTGGTGTAGCTTTTCAGATAAGCAGATGCAATCGCACTGTAGCCGAGGCAGTGGCAGAGCTCCTCCTGGGACAATAAGCCATTTACCATGCCGTATTAGGCACTAGGCATGACAGCTGACACTGGTTACGGTAACTGCCGCTGCTTACCATGAGATGAGACAGAGAGAGGAAGACGCGAGGGTAATGTGATGAGGTGTGGAGCATGGCCTGAGAGTGACAGAGAACCAACAAGAAGATAGGATACATGGAATTGAAACAACAAACGAGGCAAGAGGAAAACAATAACCATGAGATTAGATCGCTCCCCGTTCCGCCAAACAAACACCAGAACCAGCTCGTGTGATTGGTCAGTGCTCCATGATAGAATTTCTTGGCTTACAGCATACGTGTTCTCACTGACCTGCACTAGCCGGTCCGCCTGGTGGCTTTGTTGGATTGGCTCGGGAGTAGCAGTAGCAGTGGTGGCAGGAAAAAAGGGCGACACTGGGCTGTTTGATCCACCAGTCAGCTCTTTGACCAGCTCCCATACACTGTGAGGAAGGGAGAGGACAGGTGGGTGAGAGCGCATGGGTGAGTTGGGAAACGAAGGATGGGAGGAACGGTTGGGTTGAGAGGTGCACCTGTGAGCTCTTTAACGAGCTCCCATACACTGTGAGGTAGGGAGGGGATAGGTGGGCGATTGTGCATAGGTATGGTATGGTACAAGGGCGGGCGAAGGAGAGAGGGGGGAAGGGGAGGAAAAATGGGTTGTCGGGTGCGCTTGTAAGCTCTTTGATCACCTCCCATACACTGCAAGAAAGGGAGGGGCGAAACAGATTTCCAGGTTCCCATCGGTATGTTCAAGGGTGGGAAGAGGTGGGAGGTGGTGAGAGGGAGGAGCGACAGGTTGTTTGGTGCACTTGCAAGCTCTTGGACCAGCTCCCATGCGCTACAAGGAAGAGACAGGAGCACTGGGTTTCGCATGGGTAGGGTACGGTTCAAGAATGGTGGAGAGGTGGGGGTGGGGAGAAGCAAATGACGTTGTCCGTTGCAACGTAAGCTTTTTGACCAGCTTTCATGAGCTGTGAGGAAGGGACAGGAGACGTTGACAAAAGAAAAAATGCTCACACGGATATACAGAATCTCGAGCTTGTGGGGGAATACTCGTGGCACATGAAGATATGTAATGGCAGGTCATGAAATGCGTTATAAGGCAACATTACAAATCACACACATACGCACTCACAAAGGGCAGGAAACGACTTACGAGAGCAAGTATTCAAGAGCCGAGTGACTCTGTCCGGTCGACCCACTGCTATTCCTCAGAGCATCCACGGCTGCTGCTGCTCTTGCGGTTGTGAAGCAAAGCACACACAACAAGCAGGTACCACTCACGAGAGCACGTATTCAAGAGCCGAGTGACTCTGTCCGGTCGACCCACTGCTATTCCTCAGAGCATCCAGCGCCGCTGCTGCTCTTGCTGCACCTGCTGTTGCTCCCTCTTTGGCACCACCTGAACCTGAGCCAGGTGCGCCCTGCACCAGATGCAGCCTCCCCCTGATGGCTGGCACCAGCAGCTCGTCTGCGAGGAAAAGGACAAGCGCGTCCATAGGCGCTGCTGCTGGTGCGCCGGCCGCTGCCATCCAATAGACGCTCGCCACATGGCGCGACGTGGCGAGGCTTCTAGAGTCCCAACATGCCATTGCAGCAGACTGGAGGCGGGAGAGGGGGCGCGGAGGGGAACGCGGATGGGAAGGGGGGACGGGAGGGAGAACTGAGGTGTTGAGCAAGGAGACGAAGAGCCAGGCTTCTACAGTCTCAGCAGCCATAGCAGCAGACTGGAGGGGGGGAAGGAGGATTGGGAAAGGAGGAGGGTGGGGAAAGGGGGGAGGGCGTGTTGGAGAAGGGAAGGGTATGCTGACCAGAGTCCGAAGAAGTGCAGGTGGGCATGTTGGAAAGAAACAGAAGAAGTGCTTGTTGTGCCTCACCTTTCTCCCTGCACACCCATCACCCTCACCTTGCTCCCTTCACCTATCCCCCCCACCTTTCTCCCTGCACTTCACCCATCACCCTGCAGTTCACTGACCATTCAACCCTCTCTGTCTTGCTTGCCCCCTTTCTCAAGCAAGCAAGACAGAGAGGGTTGAATGGTCAGTGAACTGCAGGGTGATGGGTGAAGTGCAGGGAGAAAGGTGGGGGGGATAGGTGAAGGGAGCAAGGTGAGGGTGAAGGGTGCAGGGAGAAAGGAGAGGGTGATGGGTGTGCTGCAGACATTAATAGGTGAGGGTGATGGGTGATGGTTGTTGGCATGTCATGGTGGGTGGGTGGGAGTGACCGTAGGCACACAGCAGCACAGCACTTGCTGTATGACTGGCCAGAAGCACTTACTCGTGAGAGGAAGGCGGCAGCAGAGGGGCAGCAGGCAGGGGCGTATGAGTCGAGGAGTAAGAGGGTTTTGACGGTGCTGGTGTGTGTGGTGGTGGCCAAGACTGGCTGTGCCAGCAGCACTTGCTGTGTACTTATGGGTTAATTAGCACTTACTCGTGAGAGGAAGGCGGCAGCAGAGGGGTAGCAGGCAGGGGCGTATGAGTCGAGGAGGAAGAGTGTCTTTGAGATGCTGGTGTGTGTGGTGACTGTGACTGGCTGGCACAACAGGGCTTGCTCTATGAAGGGTTCTCTTGGTGGGCATGGGGCGAGGTAGGGGAGGGCGAGCTGGGGAGAGTGGGAGGGGGGAAGGGGGAAGCAGGTGCGGCGGGAGGAGAAGAGTGGGAACACAAAGCAGAGAGGAGAGGGGGATTAGATAATGAGAATCCCAGATTCTTGTATCTAACCATGCTAGATATATCCATGTAAATGTGTGCGCAGGACACCCTTTGGTATGCATGGAGGAGAATGACTGGAGGATCAATGACCAAGATTTCACCTGCCACGTGGCAGCATCTGATAGGAGGTCCATGGCGTAGTTCACCCGGCAGAGATCCAGAACAGACAGGCCGCTGATGTCAGCACCATCTGCTGTGGATGGCTCCCGGGCGGCAGAGGCAGCATTTTGGGCGGCAGCTGCAGCGGCTTGTTTGGCTGGTAGTGCGGAGAGGGACGGCGAGGGAAGTGAGAGAAGCTCAATCACTTGCACTAGGAACCTGATAGGGGATGAGAGGGTGGGTGAGAGGGTAGGGAGGGATGGGGAGGGATGGGGAGGGATGGGGAGGGATGGGGAGGGATGGAGAGGAGTGGGGTGTCAGCATGCAAGCAGGCTCGCTAAAGACGACGGGTAATAATCCGCGCCATTAAAATCTGCAAGTTCAGATTTGAAGAAAAGAAAGATCAAAAGGGGGAACTGAGGGGGAGGAGGGGGTGGATGAGAGGGACGTGGGGTGGGAGGGGAGAGGATAGTCGGAAGGCAGGAAGGCAGCAGAGATAACTGCGGGGGCAACAAGGGGGACGATAAGAAAAGGGGGAGAGGCAATCAGTGATAGAATTGGAGCTGAACTAATTGCTTAGTAGAGAAGGCACTAGGCCTGAAGTACAAACAAGGTTGGGTTGAGCAAAGCTAGGGAAAGGATGGGATGGGAATCCTAGCAAATCTCCAATTGGTGAGTTGGCAGATTTGCAGGATTACGAGGGAATCTCAACCAGATAGGGTTGGGATTACAAACTACACCCAACCCGCAAATAACCTACGCGATATAGAATATAGTACACAAAGTGTTGACAGCCTATTTCTAACAACCAGGAGCGGAAAAGGAACGCGGTTGGAGGGAGAGAGGGAGGGAGTAAGGAGATTCATTGGAGTGACGAGTGGAAACGCATGGGTGTTTAGAGGAGGACGGCGGGTGAGGGGAAAGAGGGGGTGGGGCAAGGTGGGGAGCATAATGAAAATCGATATTAGAAAGGGGATTGGGGGAGAAAGGAGAACGGGAAGGGAAGGCAGAGGGAGGAGGGCGCACCAGGAAGGGAGGAGTCGAGATGCTATGGACACCACAACCTGCCATGTGCATGTGCATGCCATGCCATGACATCCCATGCCATTCCATGCCATGACATACGATTCCATGCCATCCCATGCCATCCCATCCCATCCCATCCCATCCCATCCCATCCCATCCCATCCCATCCCATCCCATCCCATCCCATCCCATCCCATCCCATCCCATCCCATCCCATCCCATCCCATCCCACCCCACCCCACCCCACCCCACCCCACCCCACCCCATCCCATCCCATCCCATCCCATCCCATCCCATCCCATCCCATCCCATCCCATCCCATCCCATCCCATCCCATCCCATCCCATCCCATCCCATCCCATCCCATCCCATCCCATCCCATCCCATCCCGTCCCGTCCCGTCCCGTCCCGTCCCGTCCCCTCCCATGCCATGCCATGCCATGCCATGCCATGCCATGCCATGCCATGCCATGCCATGCCATATCGTGCCCAGTCAACGGCAAATAAGAGGCAGCAGAAGTTGAAGGAGAAGCAGGGAACGCGGGCCAGGATCAGAGGATAGTGGGATGGGATGGGATGGGAACCAGCCAGCTTTGCATTGCGGCGATTTTTTAGGCGCCTCAAAGATCCCCTCAATGCTGCGGTGCAGACCAAAAATCACCTCAAGATGGAACAAGCCGAGGCGACAACATGCAGATGAACTTATAAACACTACCAAGGAATCTGGCAGATATATGGCAGGTATGGTGATGGCGGCAGGTAACTGAACATTTTCAAGGTGCCTCAAAAACTGAACATTCAAGTACACCCAGTTCAAGAATGTAGAATCGCGCCGTTTCCTTCCCCCACCTCTGTTTCACGGCACAAGGACGCAAGCATGAGCCGATCCAGCGACGGCTGGACGAGATCCGAAGCATCCAACGGCTGAGATGCCCCACCGCTCTTCCCACCGCCGCCCGCTGCTGCTTCCCGCCAGCATTGCAGTGCGAGCGACGCCTGTACTGCTGCTGTCTGTTGGCAAGAGAAGGGGAGAAACAAGGGGTGCAGGGGTGAAAGGGATTTGAGTAAGGCCTTGCTCTTGCTTCTTCCCTCTCCTACCTGCCGCTTCTCGCCAGCATTGCAGTGCGAGCGACGCCTGTGCTGCTGCCGTTTGTTGGAAATGGAACGGGAGGAAGAAGAAGTGCAGGGGGGATGGGAAAGGGAGCTAAGGCCTTCCTGTTCCCACTGATGCCATCGTTTGGTAAGAGGGTGCAGGGCGAAAGGAAGGTGAGTCCTTGCTGAAACCATCCCAACCCATCCCAACCCAACCCAACCCAACCCATCCCAACCCAACCCAACCCAACCCAACCCAACCCAACCCAGCCCAGCCCAGCCCAACCAGCCCATCTCAACCCCTCAGCCCCTCAACTCACCGCCTGCGGGTTCTGGTGCAACAGCCGCGCCCCCAGCAGCTCCAGCCAATGGGAGCGCGCCACGTCATCAACGGCCCGGGAGCTCCCCAACAGCAGGTCGAGCAGGGCGAGCAGCGCCCTCTCGGTGGCCGGCGCATCTGCCGCCGCCCAAAAAGGGCTTGCCTTGAGGCGTGCGAGACGGTTGCGCCAATGGTCACGATGCTGGAAGCGGGTTTGGGGTGAGAGGGGTGAGAGGGGTGAGAGGGGTGAGAGGGGTGAGAGGGGTGAGAGGGGTGAGAGGGGTGAGAGGGGTGAGAGGGGTGAGCTTCACAGCAGCAGTGCGAGCAGGGCGAGCAGCGCTCTCTCGGTGGCCGGCGCGTCTGCTGCCGCCCAGAAGGGGTTGGCTTTCAGCCGCGCGAGTCTGTTCCTCCAATGGTCACGATGCTGCAAGGGCCAAGGGCACAGAACAGAACACAAGCAGCAGGTGCAGGGTGAGATTTGATGATTAAAGGCTCAGCAGGTCCTCCCAGCAGCAGGTCCAGCAGGGCGAGCAGCGCTCCCTCAGTGGCCGGCGCGTCTGCTGCCGCCCAGAAAGGACTGGCCTTGAGGCGAGCGAGTCTGTTCCTCCAATAATCGCGCTGCTGCAAGCCAGGAAGTGTTGGGGTTGGGGCTTAACATGGTGAGATTGGGTGTGCATCGGGGTCTAAGGCAGCAGGTCCAGCAGGGTGAGCAGTGATCTCTCGGTGGCCGGCGCATCTGCCGTTGCCCAGAAAGGCGAGCAACGCGATTCCTCCAATGGTCACGATGCTGCAAGGTGTGAGAGGGGTGAGAAGGATAAGAGGGGTTTGAGGTGTAAGAATGGGAGGGTGGGTGGGTGGGGGAAAGAGGAGGGGTAGGTCAGGTCAGGTTGGGTTGGGTTTGAAGCTATATTGGAGTGACTTTTGAGAATTCTCAAAAGAACCATCTGCTTGTCCCCGGATTGAAGGAGCAAGGGCAACGACAACACTGACAAGCCACGTGGGTAATGGCAAAAAGACTCACGAACCACGCTGACGCAGCTCTGGGCTCACCCTGTAATACGCCGACACCTCAGCAGCGTCGTGCGCCGCCATTGGCTCAAGCGGCATCGGCATTTCTGCGAGCAGCACTGCCACGGCCTCCACCAGCCCGTTCTCCGCTTCCCTCTGAATGACCTGGTCCTCGCGGTATGATGAGTGACAACGGAGCAGAGCCGTCTGGGCGCAGGCGGAGGGGGAGGGATGGGCGGGGATATGGTTAGGAGGGAGTGGGGAGGGAGTGGGGAAGGGGTAAATTGACATCTCCGCCAGACAACAGCACTGCCGCTGCTTCCACCAGCCCGTACTCCGCCTCCCTCTGAATAACCTGGTCCTCGCGGTAGGATGAGTGACATCGGAGCAGAGCCGTCTGGGCGCAAATGCAGGGGAAAGGGGAGGGAGTGAGTGGGATGATGGGCGTCTCCGCCAGCAGCACTGCCATGGCCTCTACTCTACTGCCCCGTTCTCCGCTTCCCTCTCAACCACTTGATCCTCACGGTATGGCATGACGAGTGGAAACGCAGTAGGGCCGTCCGGGGGAGCAGGAGAAGGCGAAGGGGGAGGAGTGGGAAAGGAGGGGATGAATCATGTCAAAATCTCCTCCCGCTCCCCACCATCTCCTCTCCACCAGCGGCACTGCCACTGCCACGGCCTCCACCAGCCCGTTCTCCGCCTCTCTTTGGATAACCTTATCCCCACGATAGGATGAGTGCATGCGGAGCAGAGCCGTCTGGGAGAGATGAGGGGGGAGTGGGGAGGGGCAGGGATATGGTGGGGAGCGGGATGGGAGGGGCGTGAAGGAGGAGGATTGGCATTTCTGCGAGTAGCACTGCAATAGCTTACCCCAGCCCTTGAAAATGTGTTTAGAAGAAGGGATTGTGCATTGAAAGTTTGAGGTCCTGGATCTCGGGTTTTATTTATGAGGCGTCTCAAAAACCGCGAGTGATGAGACGATTTATTAGGCGCCTCGAACACCGCGAGTCATGAGACGATTTTTGAGGCGCCTCGAAAATTGTGCATTGAAAGTTTGAGGTTCTGAATATCGGGTTTTATTTAGGGTTGGGGGGGGGGGGGGGGGGGGGTAGACATGTCAAAATCAAGCAAGGTCATTTAGGTTACAAAAAAGGAGGCAATTGGTGGACAAGTTTCAGTACGAGTATTTTTGGCTGCTTGGACAGGAGTGGCAAATCATTTCTCGATTTCCCAATCCTACAGAAAGTCGTTAGTTTAGCTGTAACACTAATGCCTTCCCTGACAAAAAATAAAAGAAAAGAAAATAAAAAATTATGGGAGGAAAGGCAGCATACCGCCGTGTCTCTCCAGCCAATCGCAGCGCAGGAAGCCACAGCCGGCCAATAGGGCTCAAGAACCTCTGGAGGAATGGCCTGGTGGGAGATGGGAGATGACAAGAGGGGAGAGGAGGGAGAAGAGGAGAGAGAGGAGGGAGAGGAGGGGGAAAAGAGGAGGGAGAGTAAGGGACGAAGAGGGGCGAGAGGAGGGAAAACGGAAAGCATGTCAAGGGACTGAAAAATCAGCGAGAAAAATGAGACAAGGGTGGGAAGAGGGATTAAGCGGATGGGAAGAGAGGGTAGTTAACGGGTGAGAAGAGAGTGGGGAGAGGGAGGGAAGAGGGTACATGAAACCCTAGAAAATCCACCCGCCCGCTCACCTCTGATTGGCTCACCTCTGATTGGCTCACCTCTGATAGGCCACCTCTGATTGGCTCACCTCTGATTGGCTCATTTGATCCCGCAAGGACCGGAGGCATGCTGACGTGGACGTGTTGCAAGGAGGTAGCAACGCGTTGTATTGCTGTTGGGAGCGGGTTGGTGGGGAAGGGGAGGGGTGTGTGGGGAGGGATGGGGGGATGGACAGGAAGCAAGGGAATGCGGAAGCAAAAAACAGTTCACGTCAGCAGTGCTGCACGAGATGGCAGGGTGAAGAAGGGTTATGAGAGGTGTGGCCGGGTGTGGCCGGGTGTGGCCAGCTAGGGTTGTGGGGAGGAGAAGATGGGGTGCGGAGAAGGAGGAGGAAGAGGAAGGACATAGCAACGAGTAGAGACGAAAAGAGAGGAACAACGTCAAATAGAGCAACGAAAATTGAGCAACGAAGGAAAATAGAAGAGAAATGGTCAAGGAGAAAATATAAGTGCAAGAGAAGAGAAGAAAATGGTGGTTTCACTGAGAGCAAAGAAGTTCATGGGGTGGGGGGAGTGTGGGTAGGGAAGGGGGGGACGTGGGTAGGGAAGAGGGGGGGTGTGGGTAGGGAAGGAGGCGGGTGGTCAGAAAGAGAATTGAGGGAAGAGCTAGAACAGCAGCAGGCGGCGGTGAGAAGAGTAGACGAATCAGAGCGCATGAGGGAGCAGAGGAAGGGAGGAGAGAGACGAAGCACTGAGTGGTGGGTGCAGACGCAGCAGCAGAGGGAAGAGGCAGGAGGAGGGGAAAGGAGGAGGCGGAGAGGAGAAAAGAAGAGCCGGGAATGAATAAGAGAGATTGGAACTCAAAACAATGGTTCCACCCACAGCAAGCCAGGAGACGAAGGGCTGACAGGTGGGGGTGGAAGGAGCAGCAGAGGGAGGAGGCAGGAGGAGGGGGTAGGAGGAGGGCGGAGAGGAGCGGAAGCTGCTGTTGCTGCCGCCCCTGCCACCTGCCTCCATCCCTCTGATACCCCCTACTCCTCTTGCTCCCCTGAATGCACTGTCCACGTCAGCACTGCCACCCATGCGAGTGTCCATGTCATTGTCCACGTCAGCAGAGCCAGGTGTGTGGTCGGGGAGGAAGCAGAGGCGGAGGAGGTCCCAGACCGCTGCCAGCTCACCCTGGGTGATGCCACGTGGCAGAGACTGGTTGGTAGGCTGGCAGGAGGAAGGGAGGGAGCGTTGGCAGGGTGGCAAATAGATTGAAGTTGTTGCAATGCAATGAAAAAGAGAATTGACTTGTGGAAGTGAAACGACAAGTGAAGTGAAATGCGATTCGGAGCAGCTGAAATCGAGGCCGTTAACCCTCTCACAAACCCCACTCATCCTCAATCACTCAATCGAGGACGTTAACCCCACTTCATCCCTTCCATCACATGCAACCACCTCGTCTCCCCATGCGCCCAGCCTCACAATCCTCAAAAGTACCATCAACGCCCCTCCCCCCTCTCTTTCCCTCAGAGAACCTACCTCGTCCCCCCATTCCTCCCTCTCTTCAACATCTATCGCTGCAAACGGGTCAGCGGCGGAGATCCCGAGGGAGTGGGGCGAGGCGCGCGCAGCTGCCAGCGTGGACTGGGAGGACGGTGGAGAGAGGAGCCTGCTGACGTGGCGAGACCACCTGCTGACGTGTCGCCATCTGGAGGAGCGACACAAGGATGAGAACGGAAACTTTTTTCTCCTTCTCTCGAAGGAACTACATTTTGAAAGAAAGAAAGGAAGAAACAACTTTTGAAAGTTCATTTGAGAACATGACATTTATACAATTGAAACAATATGTATGGCATGCCGAGAATAGAAAGCTAATTGAAGTGACGTTTACGACTCAATGTCTCAACTCAAGGGTGGTTCATGTCATGTCACTGCACCAGGCTGAACCCCTCCCCCTCCCCCCTCCCCCCTCCCCCCTCCCCCTCCCCCTCCCCCTCCCCCTCCCCCTTTGAGGCGCGTCAAGAGTAAAAAACTTAGCCATACGCGCTTCGAGACAGTCTCAACACACGACCTACCTCTCGCGCCGCTCGTCGATTTCCGCGTCTTCCGCTTCCTCCGCCATTTCCGCCGCAATCGCCGCCTGCAGTCGTCCGTACAACGACGACGCCCCCGCTGCGATCTGCCGGTGGAACGATGACGTGTCCGCCCACGTCACGCTGACAATTGCCGACCCGCGTCCCGCCACGTCATCATGCCGGTCGTCCGACCTGCCTTGAAACGCGCCGTCGGACGCGGCGACAGATGCGGCCGGAGCGCAGATCAGAAGCTCGTTGCCCAATCCCCACTCGATCTCGACGGGGAATGCGGCGGGAAAGGAGGATGACGGTTCGGTTTGGAGGAATCCAGGGCGGTACTGCCCTAACGGCCCCACCATATTCGCCTTCTACGCCAGCCAAGTCAGAGGCTCTGGCTTTATATCGAAAGCGTCGCGCGGGGCTCGTTATAAGCAAGACGAAGGTGGGAGTACACGGGAGATTCTGTTCGCCGTGCTACAAACGAATGCGCTGGAGGCGAACAAACGGTAGCTTGGAGGGAATGACAGTGAAAACGGTCTCCGATATAAAGCTTCGTTTTGAAAGTCGACCGCACATTCTGTAGCAACATATTTTCATGGAGTTGTCTTTGCAAAGCAGTATATGAGCATGCATACACATATACATAGGCTGCTCTGTCTATTATCACGAGATCCTTTCGGAAAAGTTTCGCCTGGCTGTTATATACATCTGAGAAGTTGTAAACATTTCAATAATTTTGAGCACGACACCAGTCATCATGTATTTGGGCCCTCCTTAGAGATTCACCACACCTAAGGAAAATCCACTTATAAGAGCGTGTTACTACAGCCTCATACCAGGCCAACCTTGTATCAGGAATGCACAAAACACTTCAATCTCGGCTTCATTGGATTGTTTATTTTCTATTTCCTGGTTTGATGCTCGACAAAAGCCGAAGGGTGATTTCCGCATCCCTGAACCCGACAAAACAAGAATCGCCTAGGTAACTTATAGCTCCTCCGCTTCTCCCTCCCTCCCCTCCATTCCTCCCACCCCTCCTTTCCCATCCCTCTCCCCCCAGCATAATTCCGCACCTGCAAGTTACGGTAGCTTAAAGCCCCTCCTCTTCTTCCCGTTCCTCCCCACCTCCCTCGTCTCGTCCCTCTCCTCCCTCCTCCACCTTCCCTCCCTCATTCCCTTCTTCCCACGCATACCTCCTCCTCTGCGGGTTATAAACGGAAACTCCCCAAACTGCCGTCTCCCCAGGTGCTGCACGTCCCACCCGGGCGGCAAGAAGCGCGGCTGTAGCGCCGCTACAAACACCTCCCTCCACTGCCGTGTGAACTCCCTGATCCCCGCCTCCCCACCACCCTCCGAGAACTCAGGGTCCTTAAACTTCCTCCCCTTCTCCCTCCCCTCCCTCCCCTCCTCCCCTTCCTTCTCCCTCCCCACCCTCCCCTCCTGCCTCATCACCCTTCACATACCGCCGCCTCTGTGGATTGTAAACGGAAAACTCCCCAAACTGCCGTCTTCCCAAGTGCTGCACATCCCACCCGGGCGGCAGGAAGCGCGGCTGTAGCGCCGCCACAAACACCTCCCTCCACTGCTGTGTGAACTCCCTTATCCCCGCCTCCCCACCCCCCTCCAGCAGCAGCGCTACAACCTTTGTTCCGTGCTCCCAGTGGCCCCTTAAAGGGACTGGCTCGATGGCGGGGGTTGCAGAGAGGTTGAGTGAGGTGAGGTCAGGTGCTGCTAGTCCCAGGGTATCCTCCTCTTGAGTCTTGCAGGATTGGTCGCTCTCTCCCTCACTTACTTTCTCACTCACTCCCTCACACGCACCAGCATCCGCCCCCTTGAGCTCATTTCCGTCACCTGCTCCCTTTGCTTGCACAACCTCCTTTCTCCCATCCCCCTCTCTCTCTCCTCCCTCTCCCCCTCCCCCTCCACCCAGCCCAGCTAACGCTTTCTGTAGAGCCTCCCTTTGGCCCACAACGGGCAAACCTTTTCTTTTTCCTGCCCGCACTCTGGTCCCCTTCCCTGCCTGCACCACCATCTCCAGCTCCTCGATTTTCACCGGGCTGCCTGCTGCCCGCTTCAAAACTTTCCACACGGGCAGAAGCAGCTCGCAGAGCCTGCTTTCAGGCAGCGATGCCCCGTGCCGTAAAACTGCCACTGCTGACCGGGCAGCATCGTTCAACAGAAACGCTGCCTGTACTCGCGCATCCCTTCCTCCTTTCCGCTCACCATTCGCACTCCCCTCACCCTCCATCTCCCCACCTCCCTCCTCCCTACCTTCTGCATTCTCCTCCTCTCCCACCCCTTCTCCCCCCTCCTCGCCCCCACCCTCACCCGACCCTCCGCCGAACCTCCGATCCAGCGGCGACAGCAGCAACGGAACCCCGAACCTCCGCGCGACCTCCCGCTTGAAAATCTCAGCCGCACGATGCGCCACGTCATGGCAATCAACGCACAGCAGCACGATATCATGGCTCCGGTGCGACTTCAGATGCTCGGGGAAAGCGTGGCGGTAGCAGGAGGGAACGAGGCGGTAGCGCAGGTAGTGGGTGGACTCCCCACACGAGACGCAGCGGTTGGACTTGGATTGGATGTAGAACTCGTTTTCGTCATCTTCTGGGCGGCCCTTGGGTTGGAAGAGTAAGCGGACGGAGAGGGGAGAGGCGAGGTTGCGGGGGAGTGGGGTGGGTGGAAGGTCTATTGCTGTCGGTGCAGTGCTATCAGCAGTGGCAGCAGCAGTAGCACCTTCAGCAGCAGCACCATCAGCAGCACCATCAGCAGCGGCAGCAGCACCGTCAGCAGCAGCAGCACCAGCTTCAGCAGAGGCATTCTCAGCACCTGTAGGATTCTCAGCAACTGCATCATCTGTAGCAGCAGTAGCCTCTGTAGCAGCTGCATCACTACCATCATCATCAGCAGCAGCAGATCCCACTTCCGCTTCTCCCTTCGCCCCCAACCCCGTCTCCTCAGCCCCCTGCAGCAACGGCAGCATGTCAACAGTCACATACTCAGCCAACCCCCGCCCCACATACCACTCTAACTTCCTCTTATCACAGAAGCACAGCAGCCGCCCATCACCGCTGTAGATTCGGCAGTTCTCATACACTGGGCCCTGGCAGGAAAATTTCTTTATGAAGTTGGCCCGCGCCTGGTTCGGGTCGCGTGCCCTCTGCCACCGCTTGGGCAGCCGAAAGTTTTGGATCGGCCGGTGGTGGTGGGGGTGGGTATGGTGGTGGTGAGGGTGGCTGGGATGCTGGTGGGATGAATCAGAAGGCAAGATTCCCCCTTCCTCTGCAGAAGAACCACTGGCACCAGCACCAGCAGCAGAAGCAGCTGCAGCTGCAGCGGCAGCGGCAGCAGCGGAGAGGTTGCCTGAGACGGCAGCAGCAGCAGTGAGAGCGACTGCTTCTTCTAACCACGCCTCCTGCACAGCTGCTGGCGCCCGCTGCTGAATGACCACCGGGGCGAGGAGGAACGAGATCTCTGCTAGTCTGGCCTGCACTGCTGCCGCTGCTGCCACTGCCCTTTCAGCTCCCCCGTTCACTGCTGCTGCTGTCTCGTTTCGCTCTGCTGCTCCTGTTGTATCAAGCACCCCCTCGTCGCCACCTCTCACGTCGCGACACGTGGCGGTGATCAGCGCAACCAGCTCGGGAGATCGACGGACGAGAGGAGGCGAGGGGGAAGGGGAGGCGGGCTGAGATGGAGTAGCCTGTTGTTCCGCTACTGCTGCAGACAAGGCAGCCCCTTCTGTTGACTCAACGGTTCCACTCTCCCCTCCACTCCCGCCTCCTTGAATAGGCCGAGGAACGCCGACCTCTTCTCTCATAGAGGGCGGCGTGAGAGCAGCAGCGGCTGCCATAGCCTTCCCCACGCACCCAATCAGCTCTTGACAAGTGGCAGGCCGTAGGAGCGCCACGGCGACCACTGCCACGTCAGCAAGGAGGAATCGCAGGCTTTCGTCTTCTTCCCGCGCTACAGTGTCACGCCATCTGGTTACCGCATCGAGCACGGCCCTCACTTCCCGTAACACCTGGGACCGATCCGACGTCTTCTGACCCGCTGACGTGGCAGCAGCGTCAGGTGCCGCAGAAGCAGCACCTGAACCAGCAGAATCACCTGAAGGCCCACCTGAAAGCGCGGCACCTCCCACATACCCACAGACGCCTAACAGCTGTCGGAAAAGTGCTGCCGCAGCTGCTGCTGCCGCCTCAGCACTCCCTCCTATCACCTCCCCCCTCTCTCTCCTCTCTCTCACGGCCTCTCCAACTGCACCCCTGTCAGCAGCACCAGCGCTCCTCTCCCCCGGCTTTTCATACAGCTGCAGGCACAGCGCATTGGACCTTCTCACTGCCTCCTCATACTTGGATCCGCTGCTGTGCCCCGGCCTAGACCCTCTCCTTCCTCCTCCCCCTGCTCCTGCTCCTGCTCCTGCTGCTGCCGCTGCTGCTGCTCCTCCTCCTCCTGCTGCTGCTTCTCCCTTTCCCTTTGCAAATGCTCCGTCTCCCCCCTCTCCCCCTGCGTCCGCCTGAACCAGTTCCCACCGCAGCCGGCCGGCAATGTACGGCAGGTAGTGCGAGTCCGTGCGCGCGTACTGTAGCATTGCAGGCGGCAGCGGGCGGCGGCGCCAGTCGGCGAGCTGCAGGCGCTTGTCGGTGCTGACGTGGCAGTAGTGGTCCAGGAGAAACGCGAGCGAACGGTATGGCTTGTTGAGAACCGAGCAGGCCTGCAGGCAGGAAAAAAAAAAACAAATAGACGGACAGGTAAACCATTTGAATGTGTCGCTTGTCGGTGCTGACGTGGCAGTAGTGGTCCAGGAGAAACACGAGCGAGCGGTACTGCTTGTTGAGAACCGGGCATGCCTGCACATGAGAAAAAGGGAAGCAAATAAAAAAGAAGAAAAAAGTGCAAAACAAAAGAAAGAAGAAAAAAGAGGTTAACTTCGTGAATCTGGAAGTTTCTTTGTAGCCAGAGCACATCGGAGTGTGTGCGTTTGCACAAGGCCACTGCGATCCGTTTAAACACCGTGCCACCAGTGGTCCAGGAGGAACGCGAGCGAGAGATACGGCTTGTTGAGGACCAAGCACGCCTGCAGAAAGGGAGCAAAAAGAAAAGGAGGGAAAGGCGGCCGCAATGAAGGAGAAAAAGACACAAGCAGAGTAGCGGTTTGGTGTGGTGTGGTGCGGTGTGAAGAGGTTGACTTGACTGTAAAGATGTGTCAAACAGGCGCAAACAGTGTAGATGTGCAAGTCCTGTTGCAGCCACGCACACACCATCGTGCAAATGCTGCGTTGCGATGCCATGCCATGTGGCACATGCTTGTATACACAAGGTTTTGCACATGCTTGTATACACAAGGTTTTGCACATGCTTGTATACACAAGGTTTTGCACATGCTTGTATACACAAGGTTTTGCACATGCGTGCTGACCCGTGCTGTGTCAAACAAATTGACAGTGTAGATGTGGAAGTCCTGTTGCAGCCAGAGCACGTCCGAGTCACTCCCTTGCTCATGCAAGGCCCACACCACACGTGCTCATGCAAGGCCCACACCACACGTGCTCACCCGGGCCGTGTCGAAGAGGTTGACAGTGTAAATGTGATAGTCCCTCTGCAGCCAGAGCACGTCCGAGTTGGCTCCGTGGAACAGCTTGGTGACAGCCGGGCTGGCAAAGACTGACCGGGCTGAGACCAAACATATACCTGGCTAAGGCAACATGCAGGCATACTCATGCTCACCCGTGCCGTGTCAAAGAGGTTGACAGTGTAGATGTGGAAGTCCCGTTGCAGCCAGAGCACGTCCGAGTCGGCTCCATGGAACAGCTTTGTGACGGCCGGGTTGGCGAAGACAGGGCGGAGGGCGTCCCCTATGTGGTCATGCAGCGCAATGGCGTCGATGATATAGTCCCTGCCGTCTGGGGTTGAGATCTGGCAGGGAGAAAGGGCATGGGGAAGGAGGTTTCACGATGGTCAGAACGGGGCGGAGGGCGTCCCCTATGTGGTCATGCAGGGCAATGGCGTCGATGAGATAGTCCCTGCCGTCTCGAGTGGAGATCTGGGTCGAGGGATAGGGGGCAGAGGGTGCTTCATGGCCTGCTCTCCATTGAATGAAGAATCGCACATGGCGGTGTCAAAGGCAGGACGAACAGAGCAGCTGGCAGGCGGAACAGAGCAGCTGGCAGGCAGAACAGAGCAGCTGGCAGGCGGAACAGAGCAGCTGGCAGGCGGAACAGAGCAGCTGGCAGGCGGAACAGAGCAGCTGGCAGGCGGAACAGACCAGCTGGCAGGCGGAACAGAGCAGCTGGCAGGCGGAACAGAGCAGCTGGCAGGCGGAACAGAGCAGCTGGCAGGCGGAACAGAGCAGCTGGCAGGCGGAACAGAGCAGCTGGCAGGCGGAACAGAGCAGCTGGCAGGCGGAACAGAGCAGCTGGCAGGCGGAACAGAGCAGCTGGCAGGCGGAACAGAGCAGCTGGCAGGCGGAACAGAGCAGCTGGCAGGCGGAACAGAGCAGCTGGCAGGAGGTCACACAAGGAGGGAATGGGCCCACCTGGATCAAGGCAGTGAAGCCGAGGAAGGAGCGGTGGCTGTGCTGCTCTGTGTCCACTGCAAATTCGCCCTGGGTTTCTAGAAGAGCTGCTAGGGATGCTAGCTGCTGCTTGGTGGATACCCAGTGGAAGGAGGAGGAGGAGGACGAGGAGGAGGGTGCTTGGGAAGGGAGGACCAATGAGGTTGTGACACCTGGGTCATTCAGAGCTGGTGGTGCTGTGGTGCCAGGTGGCAGCACGTGGTTGGGCGAAGGGGGATTCTGGATAAGGTGGCGGATCTCGTCGCCGTATGGATGCAGATCTCCTGGTTATCCAAAAATGGGTGTAGAGGAGGGGAGGAAGGACGAATTAGACGCAACCTGAAAGAGGCGGATGTGATTTGATATGAAACGCCACAGATCACTGGAAAGTCCTGGTATAACTGAAAGGAAAGAGGTGACTTTTGAGTCGACTCAAAAGTCACCTTGTGTTTTGACATGAAACGCCACAGATCACTGGCAAGTCCTGGTATAATTGAAAGGAAAGAGCTGGAAACCAAAACTGGGTTGAGAAAACGCACCTGAATCCTCACTCTCGTCCTCATCCTCATTACAAGCCGATACAATTCGTTTCAGGTGCTGAAACGGAGCTCTTGAGTTATCCGCAAGAACCCTACGAAACGCCCTCTGCGGCTTCGCATCTCCTTCTCCCTCCACTCCTTCCTCCTCCTCCTCATCCTCCTCCTCCTCCTCCTCCTCCTCCTCCTCCTCCTCCTCCTCCTCCTCCTCCTCCTCCTCCTCCTCCTCCTCCTCCTCCTCCTCCTCCTCCTCCTCCTCCTCCTCCTCCTCCTCCTCCTCCTCCTCCCACTCATCCTCATCATCGAATTCCTGACTGTTTTCTTCTCCTGCCACGTGGACCTGTTCTTCTCCTCCATCTGCCCGGCGACCCTTCCGTTTCCTCCTCCTGATATTTTTCAGCTCGGTTCCGCATCTCACGCCGCATTCGCCGCTTTCTACCCGCTTCCCGAACCACCAGCTGCCGCTCCAGCTTGTGCCGCCAGACGCGCCGTCGAATGCGCCGTAATATGCGCTGGACCATCGAATAGCCACCCAGTGTAGTGCGACAACGGAAGTTGCGACAACGACTGCGACGAAAAGCGGCGACACCTTCCCGCCGGCGACATCCTTTAATGTCGGCAGGCTCATTGCCGACGGCAAGTTTGTAAATGAACTTCAACCAGATACATAAAAACAAGAAGAACTGCTGCTTCTGAAGAAAGGACGACTTTCTGAAGGAAGGGTAGGAGAACGAATATGCTATCTCCGCACACCGCGCTTTTCACCTCAATTCACACCACGTTGTAAGGTTTTTGGATTTGGACAAATATGCTTGGCAACACGGCGTGAGGATTTGGGCCTTGAGGTTAATCAGAACGGTTGAGTACGACGCTGTGCAATGCAATGCGGTAATTACTTCACCGCTTTGAATCGCAACTCACCTTCCCGATCGATGACCTCAACTGAACAAGCAGCAAGCTGAAGTGGTGAATTGCGATATCTGTCAGAGTGAATTCCAGATATTGCGGGACAGCAAGACTTGTGAAACACGAAACAACTGGCATTGACTCAGCAACAATACGCGCTTTGAAGTTCTCCGCTGCAGGATTCGCCTAATTGGATGCGTACAGATATAACAACTGGGTTCAAATTCACAAACACACAGGGAAATTTAGCAACTATTACGGTATGATACAGAGTAAATGGTAGAATCCAAACTGCAACCCCATCAGATCCCTTTTCTTCTCCCAAAATCCTCCGAAGTGACCACTTCCCACCCCTCGCCATCCTTGTCAAAAGCCAGGACCAAAGTGTGGAACTTAATTAAGCTTGTCCTGTGTCCCACACTGACAAACGACTTCACCCTCTCGCGCATCATCCCATACAGCCGCGCCTCATTCGCCCCGTCCAGAGCACTCGCCGCCTCGTCCAAAAACGCCATGTACGGCCGCTGCAGAAGAAGACGAGCGAACGCCACCCGCTCCTACTCCCCCATAGAAAGCATGTCAGAATAGTCACATTCCACAGCCAGCCCGCCCACCCGTTCAGCCAAATCGGGAAGTGAAACCTCCTGAAGCGTGTGCAACAGCTCTTTATCAGAAAAATCTCCCCTCACACTCCCCCCTCCCTCCTCACCGCTGCTCCCCTCTCCCTCCAACCCTCCGCCTCCTCCCCCTCCCCCGCCCTCTCCCCCTCCACCTCCCTCAAGAGCATTTCCGGGGAAAACCAGCTGGTCCTGGAGCGTCCCGAGTGGCATATACGGCTTTTGGGGCAGGAAAAAAGTTTTTCCGGGCGGCGGGGACTCGATGGTTCCCTCTCCGAATTTCCACAGGCCGGCAATGGCTCGCAGGAGGGAAGATTTTCCGCAGTCCGAGGGTCCCATGACGAGGAGGGATGCGCCGGGGGGGAGGGAGAAGGAGAGCGAGGAGGGGTGGAGGGTGTGGGGGAGGTTGGGGGTGCGGATGATGACAGAGGAGAGTGTGAGGCACGGGCCTTCTATGCGCTGAATGCGACCTGGGGGGAGGGAAGTGAGGGCACGAGGGGGGTCAGAGGGGCAAGGGTTAAATCGGAGGTTGGGGGTGCGGATGTTGACAGAGGTGAGTGTGAGGCACGGGCCTTCTATGCGGTGAATGCGACATGGTGTGATGTGAGGGAATGGGGAGGGGAGGGAAGTAGCGGGAAAGGGGAAAGAAGGGAAGAGAATAGGGAGGGCAAGAAAAGTTGAGGTATGATGAGCAACCAATTAAGGGTAGTGTGTGTGTTGGGATCCAAGATTGTGGTAGGGAATGGGGTCTAGCATTGGGAATTGGGGATCCGTACCTGTTGCAGTGGTGCATTCAATCACATCAGCTTCTGTTTCAGCAGCAGCAGCAGTAGCAGCGCCACCACCTGAGCCCCCCCCCCATAGCAGTCAACTCCAGCAATGGTGCACCCTCCCCATGAGAACCACCTGGCAAAACACCTGAAACTACAGAGCCCGCCGATGCCTCCGCTGCTGATATGAGAGCAGGTGAGGATTCAGAAGCGTGACGAGCTGCAAGCCTCTGTCCCGTGAGAGTAGGAGCAAGAGAGGAGGAGGAAGGGGGGGCAGTGTGGGAGGGCTGGAGAGAGAGGGAATGACCAAGAGCGAGAGGGTCAGCGGAGGTGGAGGAATAAGAGGAGGGATAGATGGCTGATTTGGGGTGAGAGGAGTGAGAGGGTTGAGTGGGGGACTGAGAAGGATGGGAGGGGGCGTGCGAAAAGAGCTTGCTGGAGTCATCATCTGCTGCAAAGTCGGAGAGGGAGGCAAGTAGACTCTCCAGACGCTCTGTCTCTGCTGCCAGCTCACTATGTGTGGAAATAAGGGAAAAGGAGGCGACGGAGGAGGAGGAGGGGGAATTAGGGAGAGGGGTTAGAGGGTAGAGGGACGAGAGCAAGAGGCTCTCCTGACGCTCTATCTCTGCTGCCAGCTCACTGTGTGTAGTGAGGGAAGGGCAGAGAGAGGGGAAGGGAGGAAACGCATGTGACCACAAGAGGTCAATAACAAGAAGGTGGGGATGCAATGTATGTATTTGCGAATTCTCAAAAAACATACAAGAGGTCAATAACAAGCAAGTGGGGATGCCAAGGGGAGAACACACGACCTAAAGATGCAAACCCAGGAATAACCTGAGATATTCACCTGAAGAAACACCTGAGGGTTTAGAGTTTCAGAACGGAAAAGAGATATGACTCGTGAGGTGCTTAGAGAGTCACTTGACTGGACAACCGAAAATATAAAAAAAAATCTACTATACATACGTGAATAGATACAGGAGAAGATACTCGAAAAGGCACAATGTTAACCTTGATGTACCCAAAACAAAACAACAGAACAAACACCTGAGGATTCACCTGAAAGCATGGAAGTGCATGACAATGACACTGAGAGCCTTGTAGATGGTGTGAAAGGCATAGCTGGCCTGCGAGATCACCCCAAACTCAACCTGGTGGCACCAGCGGTCAGCAGGGGCCCGCAGTGGTCCAGCGAAAGAGGGAGAGAGGGAGAAGGGCAGGAGAGAAGGAGGTCGGGGAGAGAAAGGAGGTCGGGGAGAGAGGGAGAGGCACCTGAAGAGTCAATGACTACGATAAAGCACCTGAAGGAGTTGAAGTTGAGGACAATGACTGTGAGAGCGCGATAGATGGTGCTGAAGGCATAGCCTGCCTGCGCAATCATGCCAAACTCTACCTGGATGGGGGGAGGGGAATGGGAGGGAGAAGGGGCGGAGAGGGGTGGAGAGGGGTGGAGAGGGGGGGCGAGGGGTGGAAAGGGGTGGAAAGGGGTGGAAAGAGGGTTAGCCCAGCCCCCACCTGAAGGATTGAAGTTGAGCACAATGACTGTGAGTGCGCGGTAGATGGTGCTGAAGGCGTAGCCTGCCTGCGCTATCACGCAAAACTCCACCTGGGATGGGACCGTGGGAGAGACACATGGGGTGGGTGGGAGGTGGGGTGGGAAGGAGGGAGAGAGAGGGGAGGAGGGAGGGAAGGATGGATTGATGGATGGAGGGAGGGAGGGAGGGAGGGAACTGTTGAGAGCACGTGAAGGCCTATTCAGGAGCAGGGAGTGAGTGAGGGCGTGGGAGATGGTGCTGAAGGCATAGATCGCCTGTAATCTGAGGTGAACGAATTGAAAAAAAGGGTGGGGCCACACGGGAAGGGCAGCACAGTGAGAGGGCCAGAGAAGTATCGCGGCGCGATGATGACAGCTGGAACAAAGCTGGTGGCGCGTAGAGACTTACAAGGGGATGAAGGAGAGGTGGGGATGGGACCAGAAGGGAACGGTGCCCAGGGAAAGGAGGAAACTTACAGCTCCGGAGAAGTAGCGCGAGGCGACGATGACCGCCGGGACGAAGATGGTGGCAAAGTTGATATGAGGTGGGTGAAGAAGGAGAGGTGGGTGGGGCCGCAGGGGAACAGCGGACCAGGGGAGGGAAGGAGCAGCTCTCACAGCTCTGGAGAAATAGTGTGAGGTGACAGTGTCGGGGGGGCCGAAGAGTGTGGCAAAGTCATAGAGGTAGGTGAAGAAGGAGAGGTGGGTGGGGCCGCAGGGGAATGGTGGACCAGGGAAAGGGGGGAACTTACCGCCCCAGAGAAGTATCGTGGCGCGACGATGACTGCCGGGACGAAGATGGTGGCAAATATTTAGAGGTTGGTGAATTGACAGATGGGTGAGAGGAGAGGCCACACGGGAGGGGCAGCACACTTACCGCCCCAGAGAAGTATCGCGGTGCCACGATGACGGCGGGGACAAAGATGGTGGCAAAGTCGTAGAGGTTGGTGAAGAAGGAGAGACGGGTGGGGCAAATGGGTACGATGACCCAGGGGAGGAAAGGGGCGGCACTTACCTCCCCAGAGAAGTATCGCGGTGCCACGATGACGGCGGGGACAAAGATGGTGGCGAAGTCGCAGAGGTTGGTGAAGAAAGAGAGGTGGAACTGCAGCACTAGCCGGTTGCGCACGTTGAGAGCCACTCGGTGCAGGAATGACTGGAAAGGTGGGAAAAGAGACAAAGGGAAGGGAAATAGAAGGAGCTGATGAAGAAGGAGAAGCGGAACTGCAGCACGAGGCGATTGCACTCGTTGAGAGCGACTCTGTGCAAAAAGGACTGGGGGTGACAAGGGGGCCAGGAAGGGGTGAAGGGTTCAAAGGCAAGGAGAGGCTGTGGTGAAGGAGAGGTGGAACTGCAGCAAGGCAAAGGGATGGACGCCAAATAGTAGGAACTGCTCTCAATTTAACACACAGGCGTTTGAGACCCTGAAAGTCCCAAAAAACGTATGGAGAGGAGGAAGCCTCCTGTACCCGTCTGTACCTACCCACCTACCTACCTACCGACCTGACCCCCACATACCCACCCACCTTGGCTGATGCCTCCTCCTTCACCTCCCCCCGGTAGAACGCGATTCACTCCACGTTTTCCTTTGCAAGGGAAGATCTGCTTCCTCTATCCCTCTGTCTGCACCTACTCACCTACCCACCCACCCACCCACCCACCTTAGCTGGCGCCTCCTCCTTAACCTCCCCCCCATAGAACGCGATTGGCTCCACATTGTCCTCTCCTGAGGTGCCCATTGAGGAAAAAACCGCTTCCTCTATCCCTTTGTGCCTGCTCACCAACCCACCAGCCTACCTCCCACCTACCTTGGCTGAAGCCTCCTCCTTCACCTCCCCCCTGTAAACGCGATTGACTCCACGTTGCCATTCACTAGCACCCAACGAGGACGGCAACTTCGTCTACTCTACGTCACCTCTCTCTGTCTACTTCTACCTATCACCTACCAATGCTGACGCTCCACACCACCCACCACCTACCACTTTGTACCCACCTTAGCTGACGCCTCCTCCTTCACCTCCCCCTGGTACAATGCGATTGACTCCGCGTTATCCTTCCTAAGGTGGCCGAAGGGAGGCGAACGAGCAAGGCAGTTTTCTCTACCTCTCTTCATCTACCACCTACCACCCACCTTGGCTGACGCCTCCTCCTTCACCTCCCCCCGATAGAACGCGACTGACTCCACGTTGTCTTTCACTCGCACCAGAGAGTAACGCAGGTCTGCCTCCCGTTGGGAACCCTGGATGGAGGTAGGGTGGGATAGGGTGAGGTGCGGTGGGGTGTGGTGCGATTGACTCCACGTTGTCTTTCACTCGCACCAGAGAGTAACGCAGGTCTGCCTCCCGTTGGAAACCCTGGATGGAGGTAGGGTGAGGTGCGGTGGGGTGTGGTGCGATTGACTCCACGCTGTCTTTCACTCGCACCAGAGAGTAACGCAGGTCTGCCTCCCGTTGGAAACCCTGGATGGAGGTAGGGTGGGATAGGGTGAGGTGCGGTAGGGTGTGGTGCGATTGACTCCACGTTGTCTTTCACTCGTACTAGAGAGTAACGCAGGTCTGCCTCCCTTTGAAAGCCCTGGACGGGGGAAACGTGGGGGTGGGTAACGGTGAATTGTGGTAGAGTGTGGTGCAATTGACTCCACTTTGTCCTTCACTCGCACCAGGGAGTAACACAGGTCTGCCTCCCATTGAAAGCCCTGGAGGGGGAAAGTTGGGGGCGGGGTGGGGTGGGGTGGGATGGGTTGCAGTGGAGTGCGGTGAAATTGAATCCACGATGTCCTTTATTCGCACGAGGGAGTGATACAGATATGCCCCTTGCTGAAAGCACTGTAAGGGAAAAGATGGGGGCAGGGAGGGGTGGAGTGGGGTGGGTTGGGTATGGGGTGGGGCTGGCTTGGGGATGAATGGGGTGGGATGGAGTGCGGTGTGATTGACTCTCCCTGGTCGTTCACCCCAGCAGCAAGTAGCGCCGCCAGATCCGCATGTTGGTGAGACCTGGAGGGGCAGACGGGGGTGGAGTGGGGTGTATGAGGTTGGGATGCGGTGCATTGCAATGTCGGGAGGAGCTCCTCTCCTTTCTAGCAGACATGTCTTCTTGATGTATTAAGTGTTGAAGGGGAATTTTTAACTCTAACCAACTTTGATACCATGTTGGGCTGAACACCCTAGGATCTTTTAGTAAAGTTAAAGTCTTGAGTAAATGATGTAATAACGGAAGCGTTTGAATAAAGTCCTTGAACCACCTTGCGCTGGTATGTGAGGGCAAAATAAGTTGATTAAAGCAAAGAGATACATGAATATATATATATGAGTATAGAAGAGACATAATTGTAACTGTTTTATTGTTGCGGTTCGATACAGTGCGACTCGGGCAACTGCTCAATGTCGAGTCAGTTGTGTATCCTTGCTGTCGCGCTGCGTCAGGTCAAAGGTCGCTGACCTTTGACTTTCTCGTAACCTCCAGCGGTTACGTTAACCTCCAAGGGTTGACTCGCGGTGCTTCGATTTGAGCTGCTTCGCTTGTGTCTTGAGTTTCGACACGACAGAGGCGCTTAAGACTATTTGTTCCCAACATAATCAATTAGCTGTTCTCACACACCAGCACAAGTACATTCACTCAAGTCTTCCGCTGTGCTACTCTAGCACCTACTAGCCTATTCTCTGCAAAGATCCTAAGGCTGAAATTCTCAGCCCAACACATGGCTAGCTAGGTCGATTCATATTCCCCTGTACTCTTATTTATATCGCTGTACTTGCATGTTTTAATTCATCTCAAGCATTTTACATTCACTCTGCTATTGAGGTTAAAGGCCCACCTAATCTACCTATCTGCGTATGAACCTTCCCGAGGAGATCCTGGCAGCGTTCATCTTTTGATCGTAGCACATCCGATGTATGCTTATAAAAAATTCTGTAAAATAAATCAAGCTTTGTGTATTCTCACAAGCTAATTTCCAGATATAATATGGGCTCACAAGTGTTTGTGGTGTGCTTGTAATTACATCTAGGGTCATATTGATGGCGGCTGTGTAATTCCAGGGTTGAGACCTGCCCTGGCCCAACCCCATACACAAGATGCCCAACCCCTGCGCGCGAATTTGCTATGGTCGCGATGGAAACTCTGCACCCGTGTATTAGGGTGCCAGCCAGCTGCACCCCATTTACCAGAACCTCGAGCAATACGAACCACAAAAACCGAAGTTTGACAGAAGAGATCAACGTCAAATGGTCAACAGAGAGTTACAAAATCTTTTAAAAGCCCTTTTTGCTAAGTGCGAATTGACGAATATTTAGCGAAATGCAAGAATCATTTAAGAGCTCTCTTTACAAAGCAACTTTGGCCTAGTCAAACGGGCATCTTGTGTATATCGAGGAGGTACGAATCACGGTGATTGGTTTAGAGCTGTTTGACCCCAACATCAAGAAGGAGCGTCACGAGTCGCATGTCGCGACCTCTGGAAATTGTTGCCGCCGAATCCCCTTGGGCTTGGCGTGGAGGTGTCAAGAGCACTCGACACGACACTACACGACTGCTGTCGATCGGAGATGTACGGTCCGGATGTGTCAAATGGGTGACTGTACAGAAGGTGAAAGGGAGCCGACTAACCGACCTCCTTGGTTGTACCGCGTCGCATTTCATTAGAAAATGTGTGTGGGTGGGGGTGGGGTGGTGAGTGAGGTGATGCCATCTTCCCCCGCAACAGCCATAAAGAAGCGAACTTCACAACATTTTTCATCTGCCGAACAACTCCTCCCACCTGCGGGTATTACTGAGGAAACATCGGTAGCCCATCAATCAACTCAATTGCACTGAGTAGTTGATCGACATACGGGCCAACTCCTTCCACTGTGACCTGCTGTCGCAATGGGTTCATTCCGTCGACTGCCGCTCATAGTGCTTGCCGTGGTAGTCTCGTTCCTCTTCCACACGGCGACCTCGGACCTCCTGCTGCGACCGGAGCGCGTGCCTCGCGCGCAGTTCCGCATCCGCTGCAACTTCAGCCACGCGTCCCGCAATGACCCCATTGTTTTTCCCGGTCAGCCCGGAAAATCGCACCTGCACGATTTTCTAGGCAGCAAGAAGACAAATGCCTTCACCACCGATGGTGAGTAGTGCTACGGTTCACCAGTTCTTCTGTCTTTCTTTCTGATTCTTTTGTTTGTCTCGTTTTCCTTATTTTTAATCATGCAACATGCTTCCCGCTACGTTATGCGACAGGAACGAAGCTGGTGGGCGGTGCGACGACGTGCGGTCTGAAAGCGGACGCAGCGGCGTATTGGTTCCCGTCGGTATTCATGCGCACCAATCAGAAGGATGCCAAAGGCAAATACATCTACAAGCACGTAAGCTTAACGCAGTGTTTGTTTAGTTGCTCAAAGTCGCAGCGGCGTGCAGCTTTCCCGTCGTGTTTGTTTAGCTTTCATGCGCACAAAACAGAAACGCCAGCATGGAAAAACACCGTAAGTGCGTAAGCTCACCCCTCGCTGAAACATGGCGTGATCACATGGCGCTCCCTCTGCGGCGATTGCATGCTACATCGAAAAACAAGCGCCAAAACGAAGACGATCGCGTTGACGAATTTCTCTTTGCGGAAAGAGGAGTTCGCGCCCGGATCCGTGAGCAGGACGGATTCGAAGACACGCCGCTGTGCAACTTGGGGTGGACTTGTGTGATCGCTGCAGAAGCTCCACAAAATTCTACGCGCGCATGGCCTTATTGGCGATTAGGCGTTACGTGGTGACAGCGCTTGATTGCGCTATTGCGCAAGAGACGACTACTAACGGGTTACTTAATCTGCTTGATCCCCTCCCCCTATCCCCATGCGGTTTCCCCACGCGTGTGTACGCGCGGGTTCTCCCTCACCGCTTCCTCACACCCCCTCCCCCTCCCGCCTTCGTCATTTCCCCCCGTTTCCCTCTCTCTGCACTCTACTTCAAGTTCCCTCTCCCCGCGTGCCGCAGTTAAAGCCATACTACCGCACGCTGTGAATGCTGAAACCTCACCAACTCCCCTTCCCCTTCCCCCTCTCCCCTTCCCCCTCTCCCCTTCCCCCTCTCCCCCCTCCCCTTCCCCTTCCCCCTCTCCCCTTCCCCCTCTCACCCCTCCCCTTCCCCTTCCCCCTCTCTCCCCCCCCCCTCCCCTTCGACATGCCTTCGTCACTCTCATGCGGCAGTTAAAGTCCATCTGGACTTCCCGCCGCCCCTTCTCCCGCTCCCCTTCCCCTTACGCCTCCTCTCCCCCCTCCTTCCCCACTTGCCCAACAGTTAAAGCCCAACTGGACGCTATTCTATTACCGCACGTCTGTCAAGAACCCCGAGACCATCAAGCCCTTCCCGCCTGGCTTCCGCATGCTCACCGGCAACCCATCCGCGGGCAATGTGAGATTTGTTGTCGCTGTTGCCACTACTACCACTGCTGCTGCACGCGAGCACAATCCTGAGCACGAACGCTGCTGCTGGCTTCCGCATGCTCACTGGCAACCCCTCCGCCGGCAATGTGCGTTTTTTGCCACTCGTGCTACTACTGCTGCGGTCCGCGCGGCACGCACGCCAACGACTTTCCGCATCAGAAGTGCCCCGAAGAAGACCAGCTGATCGCGGCAAACCCCTCTGAACAACCCCGCCCTTCCCCATTCCCCTCCCACCTTCTCCACCGCGCCCCACACACCCCAGAAGCAAGCCAACGATCTCGCGAACGTGGAGTGGTGGTGCGGCGCGCGCGGCACGCACTTCAACGACTT